CTTTACTAAATAAATAAATAAAAAATTTTAATATAAAATATTATTTGTAAAAATATAAGTAAATAAAGTAATAATAAAATGCTTTTTTTTATTAAAATATAGTTAAATTAAATAATTATAGCGGATAACAAGTTTTGCGTAAACCTCTCATATGATATTAAGTTTTGAGTTCAGAATAATATCAATGCGTGATTTCATTTTGATATCATATTGATATCATAAACTTCTCATATTATGATGTCAGGGTTTGAGTTCAAAATGATATCAATGTGTGATTTCATTTTAATATCATATTTGTATCATAAACTTCTCATATTATGATATCAGGGTTTGAGTTCAAAATAATATCAATGTGTGATTTCATTTTGATATCATAACGATATCATAAATGTTTCATATCATGATATCATATATCTCATAATTTGACATTATTTTGATATCAATATGATATCAAATTCTTGACTGGGATGATACCATATATCTCATAGTTTGATATCATTTTGATATCAATATGATATCAAATTCCTGACTGGGTATTGAATGCATCCGATACATGATTAATTAGTTCGATTACAGCATGGTTTGTTGAATTATCTTTTTGAAATCCAAATTGTTTTCTGTATAGCAAACTGTTTAACATCAAATAGTTGTAAAGTCTGTGGTACATAATTCGTTCCAATAATTTTGAGATGCAGGGTAAAACGGAAATTAATCTGTAATTGTTAATAATAGCTTCGTCACCAGATTTAAAAATGAGAGTGATTATGGCAACTTTAATTTTTTTTGGCACAACACCTAGCTTAAATGAAAGATCAAAAATATGAAATAATGACGGTTCAATGATATCGAAGACTGACTTAACAACATTCACCCTGATTTTGTCAATGCCCGCACTTTTATTACTTTTAAGACTGTTGAAAGCATTCCTTATTTCGCTTAGATTTAAATTAGGTTCATCCATAAAAGAATTACATGATTTAATATAAGATGTGGTACTTGACGGAGTTTTTTTCGCCAAGTTCGGCCCTACTTCGAGAAAAAATGAGTTGAGTTCTTTAGCTATTTTTTTTTAAATCGTAAACCATTTCCTCATCAATTAAAAGCTTTTGTGGGAGATTATTTTTTTCACATTTATTTTTACTAATTATTTGTTTAATTATATTCAACGTTTTTTTAGTGTCGCCGTTAGTTTTTTCCAACAATTTTGCATAAAAAATTTTTTTTGAGTGTTTTTTGTTTTTTTCAAATAAGTATTTATAGTTTTTGTAGTTTATTCCATTTTTATATGTTTTATGTCTTAAATATTTATCATAAAGTTTTTGATGATTTTATTAATTCCTTGGTCATCCAGGGGTTTAAAAGAGACTTGGATTTTATAACAATTTTTTTAACAGGAAATGCTATGCCACTCTGTTTACAGAACTGCGCTAAAAATAGCTCATATGCAGTTCTTGGTTTGCTCGGTTTTTCATTCATTTTTCGTTCATCTTGGTTTGATTCTTTTTCATTCTTATGGTGAAAAGCACCAGATGCCTAAAAACTTACTTTTTCTTTTTATCGATAACATAATTATTAAAAGAGTTTTAGTGACAATATTTTTAGGTGTATATATCGATAAAAATCTTACATGGAAAAACCATATTACTAACTTGTGCAATAAAATTTCAAAAACTATAGGCATTTTGTACAAAATAAGTAACGTTTTTGATAAGCATACCTTAATTCAGTTATATTATTCGTTAATTCATTGCCATATTAACTATGCAAACATTGCTTGGGGTAGCACTTATAAAAGTAAACTTAAACCTCTTTATCGGCAACAGAAGCATGTAGCACGCCTTATATATTTCAAGGACCGTTTTGCTCACGCCAAGCCTCTTTTACATGATATGAAAGCACTATATGAGTTAAATCTTTTTTAATATTCTTTTTTTTATGTATAAATGTAAGACCAACCTATCACCCGTTTCTTTTCGTAACTTGTATTTACAAAAAGATAGAAATAAATGTATTTTAAGGGACGATAACTTAATTTGACAAGCATTTTCTCTAACTAATTTTTGGAAATTTTTTATTACATTTTGTGGACCAGTTTTATGGAATAGTATAGTTCTAAATACTTCTAAAGATATTTCTCAAGAACGTAATTTTGATTCTTTTAAACAAAATCTTTAAAAAGTCATTTTTTTAACTGAATATATACTGATCTACTTTTAAATTTTTGAACATCTTTTATCTATATTAGTATATATATTTTATATATTGTATATTCTTTTTTATTTCTTTATTAATTATTTTATCAACAAACACTTAACAAACCTGTTTAATCTAGTGAATTATTTAACATGTTTTAGTTTTTATGTTTTGGGACTCTTCTATTGTAATATTGTATGTTAATTTTTAATTTAATTCATAATATTGTATTCACAAAATTGTATAAGTAACAAGAATAGAATCATTGAAAATAATAATAATAAAAAAATAATAACAATAATAAAAATAAAAAAAATATATAAAAAAAAAGGACAAAAGTATTTAAAATACATATATATATATATATATATATATATATATATATATATATATATATATATATATATATATATATATATATATATATATATATATATATATATATATATATATATATATATATGTATATATATATATATATATATATATATATATATATATATATATATATATATATATATATATATATATATATATATATATATATATATATATATATATATATATATATATATATATATATATAAGAAAAATAAAATAAAAAAAGATTGGATGTTTGCGTATTTGACAATATATGTATGTAGGCTACGTTTAGAGGTGAACCATCCTTTGGCAGTGGCTTGGCGTTTTTGTCGTTTGAAGAGTAAATTACATATTTGGCAGTAATATATATTATATATAAAATTATATATTTGGCGATAATTTACATATTTGGCAGTGGCTTAGCGTTTTTGCTGTCAGAAACGTAAACGGAAATTTGGTAATTTAGCCTAACACACAGTGATAACCATCGTATCTGGTTCTTTTTGCACAATCTTTTGAACGATCTGGAAATGTACTTTATTTAGTCTGGAAATGTGATTACATTAATTATATACTGTAATATCTATTGAATAATATGTAGCAATTAATAATACTCAGTGATTATTTTTGACAAGTTAAATTCAGTACTCGCCAGAGATTTATTTAGAAAAATTTGAACATTATTACTTGCGTAAGTCAGCTCTTCGGAAGACACAGTAATTTGACTGATGGAAGGCAAAACACCAAAACAAAAGTAAAAACCATTAAAAAAAAAAAAAAAGTTCTAATTTATTCAATAGCGGTTTCTCTGTGACAAGACCTTTTGGTCTTCTTTGAGTATCCGCGTTCTTAATTTTACATTTTTTATACTTTGTTTCTTAGCAATATCTTGACGTGTTATCTTTCTTTTTTTTATATTATATGTAACATAAGTATCTTAAATGAAGAGCAAAAAAAAAAAAAAAATTTATATATATATATATATATATATATATATATATATATATATATATATATATATATATATATATATATATATATATATATATATATGTATTTATATATATATACATATATATAACCTATATATATATATATATATATATATATATATATATATATATATTATATATATATATATATATATATATATATATACCTGTATGTATATATATATATATACATACAGGTACCCCGCCGATGTAAAAAATATCCAAGAAGTGAAGAAGTACCCCGCTGTACCCCGCCGATGTCAACAATGTCCAAGAAGTGAAGAAAATTTCAATACCAGACTCAACTCTTCAAGAAAACTTAAATGAAATAATAACAAAGGATTAAAATACCTCAGGTAACTTGCAGTTTCTTCTCAATTATACAGCTATGCAAATAGTTTCCTTTTTTAACTTTAAAAACTATATATTTTGTTGTCAACATTAGTGTTCACAACAAAATATATAGTTTTTCAAGCTACAAGAAAAAAAGCCGTGATATAAATTACCTAACCTCATTTATCTTTATATAGACATATATTAAGTCCTATCTAATTAAAAAACTATGAGAACATCCATGACTTTCCTTAATGACCTTTAAAATGACAACCTAACTATTATAAAAAAACATTAACTATAACATATTGCGTTAAAATTACTTTAATTTGACTTTTAAATAATTAAAAGTCACCATAAATTCTAAAATTGCTTTTAAATAAAACAAAAGTATGTAATACTATAGCATTATTTTGAGCACCGCGGTGCAAAGGCTAGAGGGCTTGCTTTTTAATTGAGAGTTCCAATGTTTAATGCCTACTCGAGTGATAAATTGTAATCTAGTGCAACATTGTAAGGAAGGTAGCATGAACTTTGTAAACTAAATTCTCTTCCATAGCGCTCTTTGAAAAGATCTCTTGTCCTTCTTGAAAATTTAACATTAATAAACAAAAAAAAAAAGTTATCACATGTAATTTTTGAAACTTTATTGTTTCTTTTTATTATTTTTACAATTAGGTCAGTTTTATGAAAATAGTTAACTATTTGATATTCTCTAGAATGTGTGTTAGTTGAGGGTTTAAAATTTTTTTAATCGAAACTTAGAAAAGAACTATTAACATCAAATATTTTGTATAGTATAAAATAATAAGTATTTATTGCAGCTAGAGTTACAAAAATCAAATTAAATTAAAACATTTGATATTAAAGCTTTCTTATTTGTTTCACATCAATAATTTAATGTTTTAGTATGGTCACAATGAATATAGGTTCACGGTTTATAATAATTAACAGAATAACTTTTACGCTGTGATTTTTTAATTATTATAGGGCAAAGTTTGTAAGGATTACCTATTCGAACAGAATTACACTTACTTATATAAAAAAATTTAAAAAAATCAAAAATATTATTTTAATACTATAATTTTGAATCAAAATTATAAAAGCTAACAAATACAC